CTGGCTAGAGCTTTCGAATTTCCCTTTTCCTGATGTCCAGTCTTTCAGGGGTAGGGGGATGAACCACAACTTCCCCCCCCCCCCCAATCCAGGGCTGCCCCAGTGAGAACCAGAAAGGCGCGCCTCTCCTCAAACCCGGGGCATTAGCTGAGTCTCACCAGGCAGTGAGGTGGAGGAAGGAGGAGGGAAACGCTCTCGCTGCTGACCTTCAAAGGATGTAGACCGGAGGAGATCTGGTTACATGCCCTTGAACTCCTGCCCCTCCCCCTTCAGCTTCCTCTCAATGGAGTCAGGAATTCCATTCACAAAATGGAGGCATGAATGAGCCCACCCTCCCGCCTCCTCCCGGAGGTGTCGGGTTTCACCATCTCATTCATAGGTGGGAGTGGAGGGGGTAGGGCGGGAAGGGGCTGGGACTTGAACGGGTGGCTTCACACAGCCGCCTCCTCCAGGTGGAGTAGGGATATTTCCATCCTAGGGAGTAGAATGAAAAGGGAGTGAATATGCTCTGCTGTCAGAAATGAAAAAAACACGGCCCAGTGCCCACTGCCTTGTCCCCAGATACAGATACATTCTGGCTTCTGGCGTGCTCTCGTTCTACCCCCTTCCTCCCTCTCCCCCTCTCCCTCTCTCTCCCTCTCCCCCTCTCCTTCCCTACCTACCTGCTGGTCTTCCCCCAGCCCCCCACCTCCGTTTCCTCCCTCCCCAAACACATGCTCAGTGTGCTCGCGCTCTCTCGCTCTCTCTCTCTCTCTCTCTCTCACACACACACACACACACACAGCTAGGAACCCAACCTGCTGACCGGAGGTTAGCCCATTCCAAGGGAGTCTTAGGCATGGACACTGAACCCTTTCCCCGGAGGTTCATCCCTCCCCTTCCTCCTCCCCCTAAACTCACAGGAAACAGCTGTTCCCTGGAATGTTGGGCCTTGTGCAACAGTTTGCCAGGCCCAGCTGCTGCCGGCCATGCCCTCTGGCCCAAACTTCAAGCTGAGAGGTTCAAGCCTTGTGCCCCCTCTGGGTGAACTTGCCTTGGGATTTGGTGGTTGGCAGGCAGCTGGGAAAAGAACCGGAAAGCAGGCTGGCAGGAAGGAGTTCTCGAATGTGGGTAGGACTGCTGCCCCCACCGCAGCCACCTGTAACATCACCCTTTCTTCTCTCCTCCCCTCCCAGATGTCCCTGGGTGTGCATCAATGTATCTTCACACGGAGGGTTTCTCCGGACACTCTCCAGGCGACGGGGCCATGGGTAAGGCAGCCCCCTCCTCTCCGCCAAGCTCTCCAAGGTGGAGGAGGGAGTCTTGCTGTCGGGGAGGGTCTCCTGTGCAGGAGTCCCTCTGGAGGCTCATATCGATGAGCCCCCAGATCTGAGTGACCCCCAACTTCCTCCTCAAGGTTATGGCTATGAGAAACCTCTTCGACCATTCCCAGATGATGTCTGTGTTGTCCCTGAGAAATTTGAAGGTCAGAGAAGTGACTACGAAAGGGCCAGGGTCTTACCCTTGCCTTCTGTGTCGTGTCGCGCCCCCCCCCCCCCGAATCACAATACCGCTGGGGAGGGGAGATGGGGTTACTTGGGGGACCAGGAGGCACAAACCTGACACCTGCTTTCTGTGTTCCCCAGGAGACATCAAGCAGGAAGGGGTCGGAGCGTTCCGAGAAGGACCGCCCTACCAGCGCAGGGGCGCCTTGCAACTGTGGCAATTTCTGGTAGCCCTGCTGGATGACCCAACGAATGCCCACTTCATCGCCTGGACTGGCCGGGGGATGGAGTTCAAACTAATAGAGCCCGAGGAGGTGGGCCTCCCGGATGTCCCCACCTCTCCTCCCAACATCTCTGGGGCCTGGAGATAACAGGATCTGGGAATGCGGCACATGCCTCCCCTGACCTGAATTCTTGTCAAACCTGGGTCTGTGGGCCGCTGCTTGGTCTGCAGGGCCAGCTTCTGTTTTGCATGAAGAATCTCAGGTGCTCTTTCTGACCTGCCCCCTGTTTTTGTCTGCTGAGCCAGCACCAGCATCCCAAACCTCTGTCCCGTCCCCAGGTTGCCAGGCTCTGGGGCATCCAGAAGAACCGGCCGGCCATGAACTACGACAAACTGAGCCGCTCGCTCCGATACTACTATGAAAAAGGCATCATGCAGAAGGTGAGGGGCCAAAGCCCCAGGGCCGGGGCGGGTGAGAGGCAGTAACTGTGGGAAGGTGATGGGGGCAGGGGAGCATTTCTCAGCAAGTTGGTGGGAGCCGATAATGAACCGGACAGAGGGAATGAGAAACTGTGGACAAGATTTCCCTCTCCCCAAAAAAGTGCTCAAACAGTAAGTGAAAAGCCCAAAGTGTGGAGACATTGAGATTGGGGAATGGGAACTCTGTGGGGAGCTGGCTTCTCGGAGGAGCCGGCATGGGAGAGATGCGCCCCATGCACCTGTTGGGACCTGGCCCAGGGCTGCGTCCCCCAACCCACACTCACCTGGAGGGAGAGCTAGGCCCACCTAGCCCCTCTCTTCCCACAGGTGGCTGGTGAGCGCTACGTGTACAAGTTTGTGTGTGAGCCTGAGGCCCTCTTCTCCCTGGCCTTCCCGGACAATCAGCGTCCAGCCCTCAAGGCCGAGTTTGACCGGCCAGTCAGTGAGGAGGACACAGTCCCTTTGTCCCACTTGGACGAGAGCCCTGCCTACCTCCCAGAGCTGGCTGGCCCTGCCCAGCCCTTTGGCCCCAAGGGTGGCTACTCTTACTAGCCCTGGCCGCTGCTCCCCTACTGCCGGTGGGTGCTGCCCTGTGTACATATAGAGGAATTTGGTGTTGGGGAAACCCTCACTCTGAAGCCCGCAGATGTCTTTGGAGCGGATCCCTGCTGGCCCACCAGTTGCCCCTGCCCAGACTCTGAACCGCTCACCAGAGTTGATGGGAAGGAAAAGCGGAGACCCTGCAAGTGCAAAGGTGGGGTCTAGAAGCTCCTCTGGGGATGTCACTTCCAGCCTCTTCCCAGGTTCTACATCGAAGCCCAAGCTTCACTCTCCCCCATCACAGAGAAAAGAGTCTGCTCTGTTCTGGGGGACAGAAGGCGCGTTCCCACTTTATCCTGGTGGAGAAGGGTGCATTGAGCTCCCCAGATCTCCCACTGTGGTCAGACAGAAGTCTGGATCCTGCACTCTGCTCCAAGCGGTGGCCCTGGAGGGTCCTGCTTGTCCATTCTTGGTGCTGTGTTCCCAGAGGCAGGGGGAGGCTGGAGTAAGGAACCTGGGGTGGGGGAGGGGCTGCAGGGTGGAGGCAGGGAGGGCTGGGTTCCTGCTCCTAAGGCCCTTTGCCTCTTCTCTGCCTTTTCCTAGGCCCGGGCCTGGGATTCCACCCCCACCTCCACCACATCTGCCAGACCCCAATAAAGGCCCCTGCTTCTCCTTAGCATCCCGTGTCCTCTTTGCCACCATGGGAGAAGAATTGGGGTTGGAAAGAGCCCCAGCTTTGGGGCAGACGATCAGAATTTGGGGCCTGGCCCTGACACGTAACTTCCCTTATGGATCTGGGAGAAGACAGTTCACCTCCGATTCTTTTCCTCCGAAAAATGGGCTCAGTGTTACCTGGCCTCTCCTCCTCCCACAATTATTGTGCCTGGGTCCTGGAAGAATGGCCACCAGGCATCTCCCTGCCCGGGCAGGGGCCAGATTGGGCTACTGAGCTTGGAGGCCCTCCCGGGGCTTCCTCAGGCAGGGTTTGGCCTGTGGGTTCTATGATGCCCTTCCCATGGCCATGCTACCCATGTCTACACCTCAACTGGGTGTCCCTCCCTCCTGCAGTGGCTCCAGGGTGGTTTTTGCTGAAAATGGGGACAAGAGTTTGTATGGAGAGGGTCTGGAGAATGGAGAGAGAAGAAAGGCACCCGGGCAAGAGGGTGTAGGGAAAGGCCAGAGCAGGCCCTGCATGCTGGCCTGTGGAGGAAAAGACACTACATCTTCAGGGAAAGGGGAGCAGAAAACACGTGCCCCTTGCCCAGAATCCTGGGGCTGTTCTCTGTGGGTGCTGGGAGAGGCAAGGCTGAGAAAGTGGTGACACCTGATACCCCTCGAGGTGCGAGGGGGCAGAATGGAAGGTTCTAGACCCAGGCCCTGTGGAAACGGCTTCCCAGGATCCAGGCTCTGGTGAAAATGTACTCTTCAGGTAAACCAGAACTGCAGCGCCGAGGCTGCGCCGGCCCAGCCCTCCTTAAGGCTTGAACAGTCTAGGTCCCCAGTCTCCGAGCCCTCAAAGGAAGGGTGCTGGTCAGCCACTATGCACAAATAAAAAGCAACATTACTGTTCTTCCTAGAAATCCAAAACAACAACTTTTATAATTTAGAGCAAGGGAACAGAAACTTTTAAGATACAAGTTTTAGGGGGCACCTAGGTAGCTCAGTCGGTTAGGCATCCGACCAGCTCAGGTCATGATCTCACGGTTTGGGAGTTCGAGCCCTGCGTCGGGCTCTGTGCTGACAGCTCAGAGTCTGGAGCCTGCTTCAGATTCTGCATCTCCCCCTCTGCCCCTCTCCACTCACACTCTTTCTCTCTCAAAAAGAATAAACATTAAAATTTCTTTTTAAATAAAACACAAGTTTTAAAAAATATGCATGTTTTTTAAAAATACATATAATGTAGGGGCACCTGGGTGGCTGTCGGTTAAGCGCCTGACTTTGGCTCAGGTCATGTTCTCACAGTTTGTGAGTTTGAGCTGAGCCCCACGTTGGGCTCTGTGCTGACAGCTCAGAGCCTGGAGCCTGTTTCAGATCCTGTGTCTTCCTCTCTCTCTGTCCCCTCCCCTCCTTGCACTCTCTCCCTCAAAAATAAAACATTAAAAAAAAATCTTCATTAAAAAAAAAAAATGCATGTTATTTAGTTCCATATTAAAGCCAGGCTCTCATGGTAGGAAGGTGTAGAAGTCCATGGAAACCCTGGGGTCCTGAGTGTGTGTATAGGAGCAACAGATTTGGGTGAGAAATGGTGTCCACAGCCTGAGACACGTGACCTCTACCCTCTGAAATGTTTATTAACAAGTCACTCCTCACAGCTCTTTGTTCAAATCCTTAACCTTGGAGGGCCACTGCTTAGAGGAGGCAGCTTTTAGCAACCACCAGGGGAAATCAAGCTCCGGACTGGATGAAGGTAAACCCTAGACCGAGGAGCCTGACCCAGCGGTAGAGTTTACACGAGCCCCACGGGGATGCTCCCCCCCCCACGTATGCAAGCACAGACTCAGCACGTGCACAGGGGCAGGAAATCCCTGAGCTAGGCTCCTGCGGGGTGGGGTGAATGGCCTAGAAGATTCCAGCTCCCTGCAGGAGACCCACATCCTCTCCTGACCCGTCACTCAATCTCGGGAAATATTGTTTCGAGGAAGAGAAACAAGGGCCCCATTGTGTGGGAGCAGCGGGCAAGTTCTTCCCAATCTGGCCCATCTCCCTCTGAGCAGGCTCAGCGATGCTGCCGACATGCTGTTTCCTGATGGCCGGTCCAAAGGTCAGACATCAACCACCTTGACATAGCAGAGAGACAGCTCTTGGGACAGTTGTTTAAGGAACACCCACAGAGCCAGGGTCCTTTGCTCACCTAACCCACAGGAGATGGCTAGCCCTGCTGTCTCTCACCTTTGCCTGTGGAACATGTCCTTCTCAACCTCAGCTTCAATCCCAAACCTCCCCACCCTGCCCCCAGGGCCATAACCATCTCCTAGGTGCCAATGTCTTTGGTGCTGGGCGCTCAGCTGGGGCAGGCAGGCTGCCAAGCCCGGAGGGAGTTCTTAGAGACTGGGGAGCTGGGTGCCCAGCCCCTGCTTTGCTCTCGGCCTCCTCCTCTGTAGATCCCTGCCTCTCTCTCCCCGTAAGGCCTTAAAGGTGAACACACAAAGATCCCCTGCCCTTAATTACTGGCCAGGGCTTCCCAGGAGCAAACAGAATTGGAGGCGCTCGCTCAACTCAAGGAAGGGGTGGGAATCTCAGTCAGCAGACTCCCTGGCCTGTGCTCTTCTCTGCTGGATTCTCTCTGAATCGTCTTTAGGGTGGTCAGTTTGCCGCCCAACAATAGCCTACATTCTTTCACATCCTAGAATGTCATAAACTCAGCATCTGGTGGACAAGTCAGTAGTTCTATACGAGGTGTCCAACCCCCCAGGGGCTTCCCTACAAGCTCCACATCCAGACCAGCTTTCCAGAAGCTCTGGAAACAACCTGGCCTGGCAGCATCTGTGGGATGTCCTTCAAAGTCAAGAGCTTCCTTGGGAGCCATGACAGGGGCACTGGGAGGTGGCTATTCCCCAACCAAACGCTACAAGAAACCCACTCAGCAACAGCAAGCTGACTCTGAAAGGGGTTCGGTGGGTTTTCTGTTTGTGGTGGGGGGACGAGAGGCTTTGACCATAAAAACCCTTTGTTAAAGCCCATCGAGGACCTGGGCGGGGGGAGGGGGAATAAAAACAAAAAACAAAACAAAAGCTGTGACGTCCCTTGCATGTTTCAAAAGGAAAAAGGACACGCTGCACATTGTGTGGTGTGCAGCGGAGGAAGCCAGGAGAGCCTTCTGTATTCCACATGCTGCATCTGTAACCACTCAGGCGCCCAGACTGGGGCAGTGGATGTGGTTAATCATGGGACCGTGTGCAGCCACACCGGGCTCGTGCGGGTGTCAAGAGATACGACTGCAGGCTTGGGCTATGCGTCACCTCCGAGCCCAAAGAGGCCCCAAGCTCTGGTTACAGGGGACTCTCCACCATGTGCACCAAAGCCACAAATCTCCCCACCCTGGGCCCAGGCCAATATCCTAACCTTTCAGCTAGAAGAAACAGCCACAGAAAACCATTTATGTTTCCTTAAGAAAATAAATATTTCCAAGAGGTTAAGCGAAAGTACAGGGGCTGGGCAGGGGCAGAAGTGGGGCCAACACGGTCCGTGAGCTCCGCAGCCCCTTCCTCCAGAGTCCCAGCTCGGGCGTCAGGGCCCTCGCTACATCTGGGCGTCAGATGCTCGCAACTCCGTTTTCCCATCTTAGGGCTCCACGAGTTGCCCATTTTGTGGAGATGATGCCATGTACTCCCATACTGGCTGCGAGCCCCAGCTGGCCACAGTGCCTTGAGGTGGTCAGGGCTGGGGGCTCTGGTCAAACCAGGCGTAAATCCCTGTTTCTATTTTGACCACCAGGGAAGAAATAAGAATCAAGTTTAGAAAATGCCCAGTAAAGATATCCAGTCACTGGACGGCTGCATCCTCAGGACCAGCTTTTCACCAATAAAAGGGAGTCCAAGCCCTGGGCCCCCACTGCAGGAGAGGCAGACAGAGAAGTGTCACCTCTCAGCGCCGTCGGAAGGCCCGGGATATTCTCCAAGCGTTGGGTTCCTCGTAGCGGTTGTACAAAGGTTCAAGACGCTGCTGCTTCTTCTGCTTGCTTAGCTTGGTCGGGTCGGAGACCTTGAAGAAGGCTGGAGCAAATTCCACAAGCCACCTGGGGTCGATAGTGGTGACCTCACGCATGTACTCCTTCGTGGTCAGTACCAGCTCGTGATACACCACCCTGAGTGGGGCACAGAGATCAGGCTCAAGCCTCCCATCCAGGCTCCACTCCAGTTACCGTGGTCCCCTGTGGGCCTCAGCTGAGCTTGAGTTTTACCCTCTTAACTCCCCTGCCTGAACCCTCAGGGGACTGCAGTCTCTGTTTACGACAGCCACACCCCAGTACTGAGGAGCCTGCACACCTCTACCCACGAGAAGGCTGTCAGGAGGCTCCGGCCCTAACTGGTTAAGTGACACGAAGCCAAACACAGCCCTTCTCTGGACCTGGTTCCCTGCTCTGTGGAGCGTGAGGGTGGTTTTTCAGGCTGTCTACACAGACTCTGGGGCCCTGAAGAGGAGCCTCGGGGGCTGCCACAGGGACTGGGGAAGGCCACGCAGCAAGGCCCTGCATCTCCGATCCTCCCTGCAAGGCAGCACCGTGGTTTCTTATCAGTTTGATATTAGGGTGGGTAAGAGTCCAATTTTTTAAAAAGGTTACGTAAAAAACTTGTTTAAACCACCTCATTAGACAATCTCTAAAATCCGCCTTCCCTCTTACCCCTATGATTTTGTTTCTCTTTAACAGGCCGGATACTGTGCCTACTTCAGGCTCCCACTGTTCTAGAAACAGAAGCAATGTCGGAGGAGAATGTGCTGGGTTGGGTGAACACCTAAATGTAAAATGGCAGTAGAATTTACAGGTTCTTTCTGTCCACAACTGCCCCCCAGACCCTGGCCCTGCCCCTGCCCACCTACCATTCTGGCTGTCTATTGAAGAGAGCACTGGAAGGGTGGATGTAGACCACCTGTTGGTCAATCAGTGTCCGGTAGCCCTCCTGAGGGTCTTTCTTGGCAGCATTCCGGAAGAATCCACTGCAGATGGCCTTTTGCACTCGGACTGTGGACTTGCCACAGGAGACCACATCCAGCTTGTGTCTAGCAGGACAATAAATCAAGGGAAGATAAAGATGGGAGACTAGCTTGCATTCAGAGGTTCTGTCTTCCAGAATGATGGTGCCCAACACCCCCACCGTGGGTCCCCAGAGTCTGGGGTTCCCCTCTGGAAGAGGTACCTAAAGGTACCACAGGCACAGCTCCACAGTGGGCAAGATGGATACGGTAAGAGCCAGAGATCTTATTCAACTCTACCAGTCATGTCCCAGATGCCTGTAAACTAAGCATTTTTCAACAACTAGTAAGTCAACCTCTTAGGAACTTTCTGAAGTGATTCTCAGCTGCACCCTTGCTTGGAGAGAGGTATAACAAAGATGGAAAAACTGGAGGAAAAAGCTTATGTGAGGAGCCTGTAACTTCTCTCGGGTGCATTTAGAGATCAACAGACATGACGGTCAAGCAGGTTGAATTCACACTTGGGGAAAAGTAGCCAGATGTTACCTGTCCATTATGCCTAACATCTGCTTGCGAATATCCTGGGCCCGACGCAGCGAACGAGCCTGGATGAAGTTCTCATAGCACCAGGGGTTGGAGAACTTGTTGTTCTTCCAGGAGTTGTACACAGCCAGCAGGGTGAGGTGGTCCCCTTCAGTCTGGTGGAATTTAGCTTTCTTTTGATCTGCAAGGGCTTGTTTATCCTGCCAAGAAGTGGGATAGAGGATCGTTTTCTGTCCAACAGCTACTAAGTAATCACCCAGCAGTTCCAGGGAGCCCTATGTGACCCTGTCAAGTGTCCACGGTAAGCACTTCAGTGGCAACAGGCTGATTTTACCCAACTTCGCCACACCCCTACCTGAATTTGAGTCTGAACTCCCTACCTTGGGCCTGTAGAAGACATTCTGCACAGACAGCATGGACACAATGGTCAGCATTTCCTCACTGCAGCCCAGATGCACAGACATGATCAGCATTTTGCACAGCATTGGCTCCAGAGGGAATTCTGCCATCTAGAGGGAGAAGAAGAAACTACAGTTGCCCTGGGGAAAACCCGTCGGTACTTGCCAGCATCAGACACTGATGGTCCGAGTGGGCAACAGACCACAGGACATTGACTCAAGCATGATGATGTGAATTGCCTCTCTCTATCAGAAGAATGTTGTTTTTTAATTTCCCAAATAAACCTCAACGAAATGTATGTGACCAAAGACATAACTACTGTCGGGACAGATGGGAATTTTGCAGACATCTTTTAAAATTTAGACTCGATAACATATCCTGAAGAGGGGTACCTGGGTGGCTTAGTCGGTTTAGCCTCCAACTCTTGACTTCAGTTCAGGTTATGATGCCACAGTTATGGGATCAAGCCCTGTGTTGGCCTCTGCACTGAGCATGGGGCCTGCTTAAGATTCTCTCTCTCTCTCTCTCTCTCTCTCTCCCTCCCTCCCTCCCTCCCTCCCTCTCCTTCTTCCCCTCTTCCCACTCACATGCATGCACATACACTCCTCCCCCAAAATAAAAGAAAATTGTTTTAATTTTCAAAATATATACATATATATACATCCTGAAGTAAAACTGTGGATAGAATTCCTTTTTCTGTAAAGAAGAAATAGTTTTAAGTAACAGTGGAAAATCCAATTTAAAAACGGGCATCTGGAATTCTCCTCAAAGTTTATCCAGGGCCCCAGAGTTTGATTTTGCACAGAATAAAGAGTATGGAAGGCTGGCCAGGAAATCTCCCCAGAAGGACCAGAAGTTAAGTCTGTCTCCTACCCTGCGGCCCAGGCGAGTAAGCAGGCCCTCGTCATCCAAGGCCCCCAGTGTGTACAGTTGCTCCATGGCTGTGATCAAGGTTTCCATCGGAGGGGCATCCATGAAGTCAAAGGACAGCAGGTCATTGATGCCCATGGCCTAGAAAAGAAGGAAAGAAAGTGTGTGATGGGAGGGTCAGCCCTGCCAGTGTTAACGTGGAAGGAGAGTACTTGTCTACTTCTTTCCAGTTTCTTCTATTGCAAGCAGGCAGTCATCCTCAAGATTAGCAGTCACCCCCACGGCTGAACCACATAAAACTCAGACCGATAGAAAGCGTATACGTTCTCAGGAAACTTTTTTTTTTTAATGTTTATTTGTTTTTGAGAGAGAGCACGAGTGGCGGGGGGCAGAAAGAGAGGGAGACACAGAATCTGAAGCAACTCCAGGCTCTGAGTTGTCAGCACAGAGCCCAACACGGGGCTTGAACTCACAAACTGTGAGATTGTGACCTAAGCCACAGTCAGACACTTAACCGACTGAGCCACTCAGGCGCTCCTCTCAGGAGACTTTTCAAACCACTTCTTCAGGGCACCCTGGGTGGTTCAGTTGGTTAAGCGTCCGTCTCTTGATCTTGGCTCAGATCATGATCTCACAGTTTGTGGGATTGAGCCCCACATCAGGCTCTGAACTGACAGCGTGGGGCCTGCTTGGGATTCTCTCTCTCCCTCTCTCTCTTTCCACCCCTCTCCCACTCGCGCCTATACACACATGTGTGCTCTGTCATTCTCTCTAAATATAAAAACTTAAAAATAAAATAAAATAAAAATAAAAACCACTCCTTCAAAGTAAATGTAAATACAACTCAACAACAAAAAGAAGACAACTTACAAATGGGCAGGGGCACCTGGGCGGCTCAGTCAGTTAAGGATCTGACTCTTGACTTTGGCTCAAGGCATGATCTCACAGTTTGTGAGTTCGAGCCCCATGTCAGGCTATGTGCTGATAGTGTGGAGACTGGGATTCTCTCTCTCTCTCTCTCTCTCTCTCTCTCTCTGACCCTCCCTTGCTCATGTGCTCTCTCAAAATTAACTAAATAAACTTAAAATATATATATATATATATATATATATTATATAAACACACACAAACATACACATACATACATACATACATACACACACACACATACACACACACACATATATATACATGTATTTTTCCCCCTAAAGTTACTGGAAGATGATTTTCAAAAAAAAGGGGGGGGGGCAAAGGATTTGAAGAGACATTTCCCCACAGAGGTTATAAAAATGGCCAAAAAGCACATGAAAATATGCTCGACATAACTGGTAATTAGGGAAATGCAAATCAAAAGCACAACGAGATGCCATTTCACACCCACTAGGATGGCTAGAATCAGGAAAAGAACAGAACAAGTGTTGGCAAGGATGTAGAAAAATCAGGACCCTCATACATTGCCAGTGACAATGCAAAAACGGTGCTGCCGCTGTGAAAAACAGTTTGATGATTTCTCAGTAAGTTAAACATAGGATCACCGTATGATCCAGCAACTCCCACTTCTAGATATGCCCAAAAGAAAGGAGGGACACAAGCAGACACTTGTACACTAATTTTCACAGCAGCACTATTCACAATAGCCAAAAGGTAGAAACCACCCAAATATCCATCAACAGATGAATGGATAAACAAGACATACACGATGGAATAGTATTCACCCTTAAAAAGGAATGAAATTCTAACACATGCTCCAACATAATGAACCTTGAAAACACTATGCTAAGCAAAATAGCCCAGACACAAAAGGACAAATACTGCATGATTCCATTTACATGGAAATTAAGTTCACAGAGACCAGAAAGTGGAATAATGGTTACCAGGGGCTGGAGGGAGCAAAGAAGGGATGGTTTAGTTTACGGGGTACAAAGTCTCTGTCTGGAATGAAGAAAAAGTCCTGGGAACGGACAGTGGTGATGGCTGCACAGCACTGTGAATGTACTGAACGCCATTGAACTGTATATCTTAAAAAGGTTAAAAGGGTAATGTGCTGTGTATTTTACCACAATTTAAAAAAGAAAAAACAAAAACAAAAAAAAACAGCACACCAGCTTCTCCTGTCTCTTGCATACATAATTACTACTGTGCATCCAGGAAGTGCCTCATACCCTGTCAGGCTATGAGGATGACTAAGGTATGGTCCCAGTTCTCGAAGAGTTCACAATAGAAAACACAGACACAAAACCACAATAACAGTGCAATCGGCGTGCCTTGCAGAGTAGGCATTCAATACATTTGTTAGCTAATCTGATGAATCAAAGAAACAAATGAATGATGCATTATCCCAGGGTATATAAGGGGGATGCGGTAGGACCTAAGCCTTCTGTTTCTCTCCCCTAACGTGACTGTGACCATAAACACAGCAGGTGTTCAATAAATGCTTATTGTATGAATAACAACTACAAGGAATTATGCTAGCAATCAGTAAGCACTATGCCAAGGGCCTTTACCTGTATTATCTTTTATTTTCACAACAGATACTATTAATAGCTCACTTTTGGAAAGGAGAATGTAGAACAGAGGGCTGAGCAGATAAATTTGCCAAGGACTCAGAGCTCGAAGCAGAAGTTTGAGCCACAGATGCCGCTCTGTTCTCACTCCAGAGACTGAACCAGGGTTTTTTCCTGAAGCTCTGGTTTAGTCTCTCTTATACCAAATGAATAATAAATTACAACAGAGCACTCTGCACCAGTAGAGTGCCAGGGCCCCAGGGCAGCATCAGTGTCAGGGGGTGGGGATGCCATCATCTGGGAAATTATTCATGCAGCTCCCCCTGCCAAAAGAAATTGAGGGTCCTCACTGGGGACTGAGAGAGGAAGAGCAATGATTCAGAATGAAAACCAAGCTCCCAGAGGGTCAGTCTGAAACCTGTACTGACAGTTCCCTTGCAAAGTTTTTGGACGGGGAGTTCTGCTGCCATTCTAAAAGAAGAGAATTGGACGAGGGCTGAAGGAAGTGTGCCTGTCCACAGTTTGGCACTAATTAGATTTTTCTAATATCCTTTTAGAAAACGCTAACTAAAATCTTTTATAACCAAGTATCCTGCTGGTTGTTAAGGTAAGAAAAAACCGTGTGCTCACAGCAGACATGGCAACTTAGCCCCAGACCCACAGTGGAGAGGCTGTTATCACAGCCGTTTGCATTCCTTTCAAAGGGACTGGTTCCAGGAGGTTACTAAAGTATTTAACGAGGTTCGTAAAACTGACATTCATTTACTATGGACGTAGGATTGGACTATTCCACCAACCCATTCTAACAAGACAGTGATATCTACCTTGAGAGAGAGCACTGTGCTCGCCAGGTTGGTCCTCTGGATTTCCGGCACATTGGTGGTCAGCATTTCATCTCGGTAGGCACGTTCTGTGTACAGCCTGTAACACTTCCCTGGGCCCGTTCTCCCGGCTCTGCCAGCTCGCTGCTTTGCCTGAGCCTAGAGGGGCGGGCATATAAAAGTAACATATCTGTAAAACGTTGCTGAACGGCTTTACCCAGGAAATCTGCTAAGGGGCGGGGGACACTTAGCAACCGGCAAAAATCCGAAGTGAGGTTTTTCACTTCCTTTAGGACCATTTCCGAGACTATCAATGCTCTTATCATTCCCTAAAACTCAGCATTTCAGGAAAGTTTGTTCAAGTGAGGCAAATACAAGCAATGCGAATGGAAGAAATATAAAGATCCCAGAAATACACATTCAAAATAGTGTGGCACAATAGAAAAAGCATAACATGAAAAACACCATCCCCACAGTTGTGGCCAAAAATGTAAATGAACTAAAGAAATGTAACGTTAACCATAACAATGATGACTCTTGTAGCCATTTTAAAAATCAGGTTGGGACTCTCAATGACAGAAGGAAATGTTCATGCATATAAGTGAAAAAGCAAGTTATAAAATAATACTAATTTTGTACTAAAAAAAAAAAAAAAACTAGCAAAAGGAAAAAATTGCCCTAAAACTGAGGCTAACTCTGATGGTAGGCTTGCAGATAGGTTCTATTTTCTATACTTTCGCAAATATCTGATGTTGAACATGTTTTATACCTTAATAATGAAGAAAATTAAATATTTAAACCAAAAATGCACAAAACTGCATACTTAGTAGGCTACTAGACTTGCAAACAAGCAACAAACATAAAAAAAGATGGGCAAGGGACGCCTGGGTGGCTCAGTCGGTTGAGCGTCTGACTTCGGCTCAGGTCATGATCTCGCGGTTGGTGAGTTCTAGCCCCTCATCGGGCTCTGTGCCGACGGCTTGGAGCCTGGAGCCTGCGTCAGATTCTGTGTCTCCTTCTCTCTCTGCCCCTCCCCCGCTTGTGCTCTTTCTCTGTCTCTCAAAAATAAATAAAGGTAAAAAAAATAAAAATAAAAATAAAAAAGATGGGCAAGAAAAACATCAAAATGACGACAGTTGGTGGTAGTAGGATTATGGATAATTTAAACATTTTTGTCCTATTTCCCCCAAATAATGTAATACTTCTCCACACTATTTAAGGGAAAGGAGCACTACTTTTTAAATTAAAAAGATATACAGGTAGGGGCATCTGGGTAACTCAGTTAAGCATCCAACTTCAGCTCAGGCCATAATCTCACGATTCATGGGCTTGAGCCCCGTGTTGGGCTCTGTGCTGACAGCTCACAGCCTGAAGCCTGCTTCAGATTCTGTGTTTCCCTCTCTCTCTGCCTGTCCCCTGCTCCTGCTCTATGTCTCTCAAAAATGAATAAACATTAAAAAAAAATTACAAAAAATAAAAAATACAAAAAAGATATACAGGTAGTTTAACCACAGGTTGCTAGGAAACAGTGAATAGCAATCTGAAGAGGGCTATTTGCTGACAAAACCATCTGTCTTATGACAAACAGTATCGGGATTGGGGCACCTGGGTGGTTAAGCGTCCGACTTTGGATTTCGGCTCAGGTCATGATCTCACAGTTCATGAGTTTGAGCCCTTCATCAGGCTCTGCACTGACAGTGCAGAGCTTGCTTGGGATTCTCTCTCTCTCCTTCTCTCGCTCTGCTCTTCCCCCGCCCTCAAAATAAGTGAACTTTCAAAACAAAACAAAACCAAACCAAAAAAATGGTTATCAGGATTTTACAAATTCCTATGCCAGCCCCAAACCAAAGGATACAGAAGTCTCTAACCACACAAAGGCAGGCAGCAATGGCACACACTAGCGGACTCCACAGCATTCTACAGATGTCTCTCCAAATCAGAGAGGCCAAGTACAGCTAATTTCTCAATCACTGCGAGTTGCACCCACCACGCAGGGGCCAGACTACCCCGGTTCCAATCCTGGCTCCCCCCAGCTGTGTGACCTTAGGCAAGTCACTTAACCCCTCTGTGCCTCATGCTCATCTGTGAAATGAGGGTAATACCACCACCTACCACCGAGGATGGATGCGAGAATGCAATGAGTTCGTGTATGTACAAGTACCTCGCGCCTGGCACTTACTAAGTACTCTACAAGTGGTAGCTACTATTACCTTAAGCTCAAAATGAAAATAGCCTTATGATTTTTATGGATGACGAAAATCATACGTGCCTCTTATAAAATATTAAGAAAATACGTAGAAGCATAAAGAAAAACAATGCATTTCACCCCCCTCAACACGGTAACCAGCAGCTCCACCGACAGATAACCCCGACCGTGTTGACAACGTGCTTTCAGTCCCAGGCACGCTCATGCACACTGTATACCCGCGTGCGCTATTTATTTTTAAACAAAAGTTGGATTCTACTGCTCATGCTACGTTTCAGCTCACTGTTTTCAAAAAACACATCACAATTACATGCTGATGTCATTAAACATAGATGCGCACCACCCTGTTAACACCACACAACATTCTATGGCGTGGATATACCATCTTTTATTCAACGACTTTCCTTTTGGAGTTCAGCTAGAATTTTCCCAGGTTTCCTTTCATATAAATCATGCTTCAGTGAACATCCTTTTCCCTTACTCTCAGACATGCGCTCAGTCACTACTAAACTTTGAGATGTACTCCTGGAAGTGGAACTCTTTTGTCCAAAGAATGAACTTTTCAATGTTGGATACGCTGTAGCCAAAATGCCCTCAAAAAGGCGGACCAGGTTATTCATTTTTAAAAATAATTTGAGTAGGAAATGATTCCATAATAACCAAAGAAACACATTAACGTCTCATGCATTATTACTATCTCAGATGTCTGCGGCTAAGCACGGTATTTTTAAAAATACGTTCTTTTATATTTTTATAATCTAGAGTGCTAAGTTAAACTTTTTTTTCAATTTCACATTTGGCGAGGCTTTTTAATATCAAAACACTACCCTGAAGATTAAACACAAACAACACAAAAACGTCCCTTATCTCACAAAAGCCCCTAGTACCTTAAAGGTTCATCTTTGAAAACAATGAAGTTCAGAATACAAAATCATAAAAAATTTTCAGAGAAGCCTCAAAGAGGATTTTCAGGACCACTGTAGGGTAGACGCTGCCATACCTGAGAGATTGGAGTGACCACGAGCTGGTCGATGCCAGTCTTGGAATTGTAAACTTTCTGCTTCACAAACCCAGGGTCCACCACATAGTAGATGCCGTCAATGGTCAGCGAGGTCTCTGCGATGTTGGTGGCAATCACGACCTGCAGACAAGAGAGACACAGCTGGAGTGAGCTGCCCAGACTCAGCCCTGAGGTGTGACACAGGACGTCTGACCCCAGACATCTTCCTGAAGGACTGTGCAGCGATCTCCCTCTCTAGGTGACTAGCTGGCACTTATTCTGTTTGGCTTCATCTTAAGGGTCAAGTTGGGGACGGGGTGGTACCTGAGAGGAGAAGTGGAAGAGGAGAAAGCAAAAGCCAATGAAAGCCAATTTCATTTGGTGCAAATGGCTACATATCTCATTTTCTAGATCCAGTGTTGATTACTACAATTTTAATTTTCTCGCACCCTGGGAAAGCAGAGATTTCCTGGCATCACATGTGCCAGTGCAAAATGAGATTTTTCTTCCCCCGTGGGGACATCTGGACTACAAAATGGGCTGTTTGTGTATGTGGAACAAGAGAGAGATTTTTTTTTTTTCCCTGATCATAAAATGAACGAGGCGGCAGAGGAATTTCACGGTTTGTGTGTACGCAGCAGTACGCGTGATCTAGATTATTGGTCTCGGCTTGGCACTGCCACTGTTCTTCCACAGAGGTTCAGCTAATAAACCACAATTGCTTGGAAAAATCATTGCAAGGAAGCACCAGAACATCCCACGTCATGCCAGCATCTCACTGGCCCTGAAAGGCTTCCACCTGCCACAGAGCTGCAGAGCCCTCTTCCAAAAGAAGTCCGATCGTCACCAACAGAACAGAGGAGGAATCGCCGTCTTTCCACCCCCCCAAACCTGCTCCTCCTCTGTCTTTCCCTCCTCAGCACCATCTCCCGTCCAGCTGTCCAAGCCAGAAAGCTGGGAGTCATTCTTGACTTCTCCCCACCCTTCACCCCTACACCTCCAGGCACCCACTAGGTCTTGTCCACTCTAACTCTTCAATGTTATTCAAATCCATCTCTTCCATTCCTAGGAATATACTCAAGAGAAGTGAAAACATATGCCTGCACAGAAACTTGTAAACAAACGCTCCTAGCAGCATTGTTCACAATACCTAAAATGTGGAAACAACCCAAATGTCCAACAGCTGAGGAAGGGGTAAACAAAATGTGGTACATCCACTCTGTGGATGTAGAATATCATTCTACGACAGAATATTATTCGGCAATAAAAAAAAAAAAAAAATGAAGTCCTGACACATGCAACAACATGGATGGAGCTTGAAAATATGCTGAGTGAAAGAAGCCAGTCACCAAGGACCACATATTACATTATTCCATTTATATGAAGTGTCCAGAATAAGCAACTCTAGAAAATAGATTAGTGGTTTCCAGGGGCTGAGCAGAAGGGGGAATGGGGGGGGGGAGGCGGTGACTGTTAAAGGGTACAGGGTTTCTTCTGGAGGTCATGAAATTATTCTAAAATCAACTGTACTAATTAATGGTTAATTACTATTAATGGTAATTAATGGTCAAACAATTCTGTGAATATACTAAAAGTCACTGAATTCTGTTTTAAAGAGGTGAATTGTATTTATATCTATCTTAGTAAAACTGTTATTTGAAAAAGTCCATCTGCCTCCTCTCTCCCGTCTCACGTGCACAGCAGTTAGCTCCAGCCATGAACTACGAACTACACAGCCCCTGAAAGGCTCTGCACGCTCTTGCCCCTGGGCTACCACAGGCTGTCCTCTCGTGTCCTGCTGTCCTTCTTGCCTATGTAAGCAGCCACGTGCTCTTCAGGACTAGCTTAGACCCTCACCTCTTCTAAGAATTCTGGGTCAGGGGCTCCCCCTCTGGGTACACAGAGCCCCAGCAGCTCTTTCACACCATATGTTAAAGGCCTGTCTCTCAGTAGATGCCCCATGGCAGATAGAGGCCTGGCCTCCCGCCCCGGCGTGTACCCCAAAGCCTGACAGACGCTTCAAAGATACTTGCTGAATGAAGGAGAGGAAGAGGAGCAGGGGCCGCATATAAGATCCTCATTCCTTAACAGATTGGTCGGACTATTTTCTAAGACATAAAAAAACAAGGCTCGCATACACCCAAGCAATCCCCATCAGGGCCAGGTGCACACCCCACGTGGTTTCAGAGCATGCGGGCGCTTCCCGTCTGCCCAGCATTACCTTTCTGCTGCCAGGTGGGGCTGGGTCAAAGATTCGGGTCTGCATCTCACTGGGGAGAGCAGAGTACACGGGCAGGATGATCAGCTCCGGGACATCCGGTCCCAGGGATTTCATTCTTTCGTATAGGATCTCGCACGCGGTATCGATCTCCTCCTGACCAGTCAGGAAGACGAGGATGTCACCTAAGAAGAGAACATTTACTTCCTGTGTGTATGTTCCACACGAAAGCCACGGTGACATTAAAAGAACGCCCAATCGGGGCGCCTGGGTGGCGCAGTCGGTTAGGCGTCCGACTTCAGCCAGGTCACGATCTCGCGGTCCGTGAGTTCGAGCCCCACGTCGGGCTCTGGGCTGATGGCTCAGAGCCTGGAGCCTGTTTCCGGTTCTGTGTCTCCCTCTCTCTCTGCCCCTTCCCCGTTCATGCTCTGTCTCTCTCTGTCCCAAAAATAAATAAACGTTGAAAAAAAAAAAATTTAAAAAAAAAAAAAAAAAAAAAAAAGAACGCCCAATGATGGAAAACACGCTCCTATTCTGACCTCTAAGAAACCAAGAGGTTTTCATCTGTCCATGTTTATTCTGGTTTTTCATTTTTTCTCATTTTTCATTTTTTAAAATTTGTGTCCAGGTTTCACATTATTGTTTAGACCTTTACCACCGCTTCAAACATGCAAGACTTGGGCTTGCAGAGAGACCAATATTTAAAAGACATTTTTTAAAAAATGAAAAAAAAGCTACCTGCATTAGGACTTTTGGCCCATGAGGAAAAAAATTCTCTTTCCTCCTACCTGGTGGTTCTGTTAAGTGGATCTGCATGACAGTGATCAAGCTGGCATCTAGATAATCTGTCTCAGGTTCCTTTGTGTACAGTATTTCCACGGGATATGTTCGACCTGGGATGGTGAAGATGGGAGCTTCATAGAAGTACTGAGAAAACTTCACTGCATCCAATGTGGCTGAGGTGACAATCAGCTTCATGTCCTGCCGTTTCTGAACCGTCTAAAGAGAAGTGCAGTGTGGCTTTACTAAGAAGGACTAACCAGCAAGGCACAGGTACTCAAATCCAATTCCCAGGATTCAGTCCCCAACAGGTAGAAGAAGGGTGGCCAAAGAGCACCTAGTTACCTTCTTCAACAATCCAAAGAGCACGTCAGTGTGAATTGTTCTCTCGTGCGCCTCATCCAGCATGATGATTGCATACTGTGTGAGGTCGGGATCAATCAGGCACTCTCGCAGCAACATCCCATCTGTCATGTACTTGATGACTGTTTCTGGGCTGGTGCAGTCCTCAAACCGAATGGTGTAGCCCACCTAAAGCAGAACCAAAGCTGAAAACCTAGACACAAATCTCTCCTTTCTGCAATTCCCAACCAAGACTGCAGCCCAGTTAGACTGTTACCTGAAATCTTAGGTAAGGATCTGAGCAAGATGTGCAGTGACTTCCTCTTAGTAAAATCTGCCTTGGACTTGACCCTGAACACATCAATGACGACAACCCTCTCCCCCTCAGGAGAAACCTGAAGAAAGGTAGTACTATTCCCATTTTATAGGTAGAGATGTGGGCCTTTCCACACTTTCTTTAGGCATTTCCAAAACAATTTCAGTACCCATTTACCTCCTGGCCTAAGCAACAACCAAACTCCTCTGACACTCTTTTGGCCACCGACATGGCTGCTACTCTTCGGGGCTGGGTACATCCAATCTTGCCCCGGGAAGTGTAGCCTGCCTCTGCCAGGTATTGGGTGATCTGCGTTGTCTTCCCAGATCCTGTCTCTCCAATAACAATCAGGATTTGATTGTCATGAACAGCCTGAAATTAACAGAATATAAATAAATACAGTCATTAAAATCTCCCACATTACTCTGGAGGAAAATAATATTTACGTTCCAACACTAAAGAAGAAAAGGGGGATCGATAATATACATATGGTGAGATTACAGAGTTAAAATTATTTTTAATCACACATAAAAAAATATTAATGGTGGTTTTCTATGGGCAAGGCTCTTTCTTATTTTAACCGCATGTATAACTTAAAAACTTGAAACTTTATGGGTATTCTTTAAATGACTCAATTCTATTTTTTAAAAATTTTATTCGCTTTCTTTTTAATTTTTTTTTAATGTTTTTATTTATTTTTGAGAGAGAGAGAGAGAGAGAGCATGAGCAGGGGAGGGGCAGAGAGAGGGGGAGACACAGAATCTGAAGCAGGCTCCAGGCTCTGAGCTCTCAGCACAGAGCCCGATGTGGGGCTCAAACTCACAGAGTGTGAGATCATGACCTGAGCTGAAGCCTGACGCTCAACCGACTGAGCCACCAGGCGCCCCTTACTCGTTTTCTTAAATTTATAAAAACATAAAGGCAATGCTAAAAGCATAAGCTACCACCCAGGTATCTCTGATTCTACATATTTTTTTAAGTACTACATCCACACGGTTAAAGAATTCAACAGTAAATAAAATAGGCATATAACGTGTTCCTTTCCACTGCCAAATCTCCATACCCCAAAAGTCATCTTATTTCTACACCGTTTATAACAGCAAAGGATTGCCATCAACCTATATGTCTATTAATACAGGACTAGTTAAATAAGGACTAGTTAAATAAGCCAGAGCATATCCACATAACAAACCACCACACACACAAAAAAAGGAACAATTTCTGAGCTGTATCATTAAGGGGAAAAACAAGATGCAGAGTATATGCGTAATATGCTGCCTGCCATCTAGAAACATACAATACACATAAAACATATAATGCCTATGAATGCATGTACATATGTACTTGTACTGGCTTGCGTACGTCTGAGATAGCACTGAAAGGATTCACTGTGAACTAGTAAACTCAGTTGCCTAGGGAAAGTTTGGTTGTCTTAAAATCCAATCTCCAAAAAAATGGAAATAACTACCTAAAGCAAAGTCTTGCCCATATGGGATCATTGGTCAAGCATCCCCATTTTTCTTACTGACCAGAGATATTGGTCTGCCCACTTGGAACTGCTCTAGGGGCCACCAGTTCAAACAGGTTTATTTCTTCTTTGGGGGAAAAAAAAAAGGTAGAGGCGCCTGGATGGTTCAGTCTGTGAAACATCCAACTCTTGATCTGGGAGTTGTGAGTTCAAGCCCCATGTTAGGTACAGATTACTTAAATAAACTTTAGACAATGTATACACTAATACACATATGTATTTTAAAGTACTTGGAAACGTTCTGGGTTTTTTTCTATTCTCTTTGGAGAATGTACAAATGTACACATACCTGTCCAGCTAATTTCAGTTCAAACACGTCATCCTTCTTTTAGAAAACACTGCTACTCCTGCACTAATACAACACAAAGGGGCATCTCACCTGGACCAGCTGCTCCTTCAGTTTGTAGATGGGCAGGCTCTCTCTCTGTTCAATGATTGACATCTGGGTCTTTTTTCCATAAGAAGCTTTGTTGCCCCCAAAAGCATGCTTCTTCCACTCGGGAATGTCATTGGGCATCATCCCGATACCCCTCATATTGGCAGCGATCTGTCTGCCTTCCGCTGCAAAGGAAAACAGGCAACTTAGTACTATCCTGAAGCTACCTCAGTGCCCCTGCCCTCAACAGTCAACAAATCCCATTTCTCCGGTTCATCCCTCCCGTCTGCTACCTCTTGTGTTCAAGCCACCATCCTGTCTCTTCCATTAGAAAAGCCTCCTAAGTCAGCTCAGGTGTCTACACTTGCCCATCCAATCCACTCTACAGGGTACCCTCAGTAATTCTTTGGTAATGCAACTCTGATCATGCCCTTCCCCTGTTTAGAACCTGGCAACACTCCCGAGGGGACTTTAGAATTGAGCCCCAATTCCTTTTTTTTTAATTTTTTTTTTCAACATTTATTTATTTTTGGGACAGAGAGAGACAGAGCATGAACGGGGGAGGGGCAGAGAGAGAGGGAGACACAGAATCGGAAACAGGCTCCAGGCTCTGAGCCATTAGCCCAGAGCCCGACGCGGGGCTCGAACTCACGGACCGCGAGATCGTGACCTGGCTGAAGTCGGACGCTTAACCGACTGCGCCACCCAGGCGCCCCCAAGCCCCAATTCCTAATGCCATCTCGAAGTCCTGCCCCCCCCCCCGCCCCCATCCCCACCATTCCAGTCCAGCCACACAGGCCTGCTTTCCACCTCACGGCCCAAGCCCAGAAAATTCCTCAGCCTGGAACACGTGCCCCCTGACCCCACCTCAGCCCCTCCGATGACAAAGTCCTATTTATCCTTCCAGTCTCAACCTTCTCAGGGAAGTGACCTACACCACCTGTACTTCTTCACGTACCACTAGTCATGATTTAGTTAGTAATTTGGGAACTGTTTGATTAATAATTGATTTTCCCCACTAAACTGCAAGCCTCATAAGAGAAGAGATCATGTCTACTTAAAGTGTGGCTCAGTTCCCCAGTTGCCTAACACATATTACTAAGTACTTGTTATGACTGTATCAAGGAGTTACTTCACATTTACTGCACAAAGAATTATGTAAAAACGGAAGTTTCAAAGCTGTATTATCTTTAGCATAAAAAAATTCTTAGGGTGTCTGGCTGGCTCAGTTAGTAGAGTGTATGGCTCTTGATCTTGGGGTTGTGAGTTTGAGCCCCACACTGAGTGTGGAGATTGCTTAACAATAAAATACTTTTTAAAAAATCTTTTTCTTTTTTAAGTAAGCTCTATGCTCAACATAGGGCTTGAACTCATGACCCTGAGATCAAGAGTCCCATGCTATATTGACTGAGCCAGCCAGGCACCCCAAGCATAAAAAATTCTTAGGTTATTCAGAAGAAAAACTCAGTCTAATGATTTGACCAGGGTTACTAAAACATTTTTGGTTTTAAACGTTTAAAAACAAACACACACACACACACACACACACACACACAACATGCTTTAACCAAAGGGAAAAATCCCCAAATCAAAGCTAAGGCTAAATTTTTAGCATGTGCTGGCAGTGCTTGTACTTCAAGGCTCAGGTTATTTTTGAGAAGTCCACACACCCTTACCAGGGTCTTACCATCAGGCAGAGGATCAACCCAGTGTTTGTTGAGCCCCATGGGAATAGAATCCATCTCAGCTTCCCGCTGGGCCTGCTTGAGTTCCCGCCTTTCTTTGGCTAAGGCACTCTGCATCATTGCTGCTTGGGAGAGGGAACCATCCGGGTTCTAGTGCAACAGAAGACAAGCAGCATCAGAATGAGATCTCAGCACAAAATAGCCAGGAGCTAAAATGTAAATGTTAAGCCCCTTGAATCTAAAAAACGAGACCCACCTAGAAGGATGTACCATACTACACTGGAGGTACTGGGGGTGTTGGTTGAAGATGAGAACCCCATGAGAGATAGGACAGACAAGAAAGGGATAAGAATTCTTCTGTAAGGTCCCAAGAACTAAAATTAAGACCGACATGGATGCCTCAATGAGAGATTTCAACTCTGCTTACAGAAGAGCTAATAATCAGATCCATCTGGAGATGGAATGGCTCTCCTTAAGGGTTGATGAGTTCTCTGTCACCAACAATGTCAAGCAGATAGAAGACTACATGGGAGGAACACTGCAGGACACAAGTGAATTACAAGCACTGCATGGATGGCTGGGCTGGGAGACTTTAAAAATACCCTTCTCCAAAATATAAATTAATTAATAAAATAAAATACCCTTCTCCAAACCTAAAAATTTATCACAACTTCCCACGAATTCTCTTCACAGCTCTGTCTTTCCCAGTACCCGCTTTCCACTGAGGGCCAGCCCCAAATGGTCAAGTGAATGCTTCAAAACTGCCTTTGAACGTGTAAAGTAATTATCCAAGCCCCTAAGGCAAGGGCAAAAGCAATGATAGATCAAACACTCCTATTCCCCTCTTTCTTCCCAAAATACAGTAGAATGAGAGCAAAAGAATTAAAAAGTCCAAAGTAACAAAGCCGTCAGTCACCCTTTAAAACAATAATATTCTAGACCCTGACCAACAGTCAATATACCTTCTAGCCTGAGTTCTGCTTACATGGATGTAATAGCCTGCTCTGAAAAATAGAAGTTACTTTAGGGAAAAGAAGTTCATGTGACGTGTCCAAGTTAGAGTCCCAGCATTTCTCACCTTAACGATTTTAATAGGGCTCATGTCCATGCTTTGCTTGGTGTGCCCTCTCAGGAATGGAGGCTCTTCCTCAACCAGCTCGATCTCAAGATCTTCATCTAAAAGTCCCCCCAAAGAAGAATTAGCAAAAAAATAAGAGAGAAATAGCCAATCATTTTCACCACAACTGGTTTCCATGGGCACCAGCAATCTTTATCAAAGATAGCTCCCAAGGTCAAAAAGACAGCAATCCAAGTGAAACTAATGGAAATGACTGTTTCCCCTGCCCTCCAGGTATTTCTGAGCATTTATGTTCTGGCCTAAAAACTGATCAGCGGAACTACTTCCAAAAGAAGTTAAGCCTGTAGAAAAACGTGGTCTAACATTCCAAATGTTACTAGGTATTTTCCACCCAACTTCATTATGGAGTAACTTAACCCACAACAGATTGGCAAAAAAATTAAGTTGAACAATCGGACGATACCTACTGTCGTCAAGAATATGAGCCACAGGAGCGCACACTTATGATAAAAGTATAAATTGGGGGCACCTGGTTGACTCAGTTGGTACAGCATGAGACTCTTGATCTTGGGATTCTAAGTTTGAGCCCCACATTGGTTACAAAATTAGTTAAAACCAAAAGTCTCTTTTTAAAATGATTTTAGTGTTTTTTATTTGAGAGAGCAGGTGTACACACAAGCAGGGGAGGGGCAGAGAGAAGGAGACAGAGAATCCCAGCAGACTCGAGCTGTCAGCACAGAGCCTGACACAGGGCTCAAACCCACAAATCACAAGATCATGACCTGAGTCAAAACCAAGAGTCAGAAGCTCAATCGACTGGGCCATCCAGACTTCCCAAAAATAAAATCTTTAAAAAAAAAAAAAGAGGTGTAAATTGAAACACAAACTTTAGAAAGCAATTTGGACTGCCTCATAAGGTTTAAATCACACATTTCCTACTACCCAGTCATTCTTCTCCTACACATATAGGGAAAAGAAAAGGTCCTGCTATGTGTATTAAGAAACAAGAATAGGAATTTCATAATAGCGTTATATGTAAACAAAATACCGGAAATAGCCCTTATGCCCATGGAAAGCAAAATGGATAAATTATGGTAAATTTCTATACAGAAAACATTACACCAGCAAAAGTGAAATACAACTATAAAAATCATCATAGATAAATATCAAAAGCATGATCAGAAAAAAGGAATGAAGTTCAAAAACTGACCAAACAAGACAAGACAATGTTTAAGGACAGATATACAGATACTAAAATGTTAAAAAAAAAAAAAAAAAAAAAAAAAAAAAAA